CTGACCAATCAACCTCCCAACAAACGACGACCACAAAACCAACTAACAAAGGACGAGTCGGACTTTTCAGATTTGACTTGACAATTCTTGACCCAACCGAACTGATCAAGGAATTGAAGACGAACTGTAATAACCACATGACAGCCAAAAGCACTCGGAGAGAATTGGTAATTTAACCAATGACTGTGACTGCCCACGGAAAGATGAGAGATCTGGTCCAGGCAGTCCCTTGAGATCCCAGACTAAAAGGACTTTTCTTCACCACCATTTCTTACCATTTCAACCGAGCCACAGACGAACAAAGAGACAAATTTGTAATCAAGGACTCCCAGCCAAATACGACTTGACTGCCATCAAGGACAACTTGACCGCCCTTAAAATTCCTTCACACCACAGAGATGCAACGACGAGAAGCCGAGGGGACATTGGCACAAATAGGCCTGTACACAGTGGAGACAAACAAAAAAGAAATGACGGACATAAAGAATGTACTAAGATACTTGTACATTGACTACTTTAGAGTGACCATTAAAGACTCCAAGATGACAGACAATACCCCAGTGCAGAAATCGCCTAAGACTTACCATACGAAGCCCTATTGCAGGAGACAAGCGACTTGCGCCCTCTGCGCTGGTTCCCACCCAACTGAAGATTGTCCCTCCCATACATATGACAAAACATTCACCCCAAAATGCATCAACTGCACCCTAAACCACCCTACCTACGATCCACAATACCCCTTCACAGTGAAAGACAGAGAACAGAGACAAGCACAGATGACCAAATCATTCAGCCATCCACCCCCAACCAACTCACTCCAAAATTTTCCCCACCTAAGACCCCAAAACCAAACTTACGCCTCTGCCGCCAACATAACCCTAATTCAACCCCAACAATCCAAAACCCAACAACAAACTACCCAATCAACTACCCAAGATATAAAAGACCGCCTCTTCCTTCTTCAAAATCCCACAGTCAAAAAGATAATCCTCAACCTAAAACCCCTCCTCGAAATCCTCAAAGGCCCCGAGGACATCATCACAAAACTAATTACAGCAGGAATCAAATTAGTTTAAATCCTCGACTAATGGTTCCACCTCCCAAAATTCTAACTCTATCCTCGTGGTACGCGCGAGGCGGCGTAAACCAGAAAAAAAAACATTCTCACCCAATTCCTTAAAGATTACTCCATCGGGATACTATTCTTACAATCCCACACTCCCCTTACCACCTCCCTCCAACATCCGTCCTAGAATGCACTGCAGTCGCTATTGGAACCTCCACATACCACAAACTTCTGATATCCTGTTACAAATCCCCCCACACACCGATCCCCTACTCCGACGTAGACACCCTTAAAAACCTTCCCTACCCCTTCATTATCGCAGGCGACCTCAACAGTAAATCGACCTCGCGGGGCTGCATTACTAGTAACGGGACCGGAATATGACTGAACATTTAATAGACACAACCCCCCACATCCAAATAAAAATCCCTACTGAACCTACCCACCTTATTCGACATATTCCCCACGATATCCTTGATATTATCCTCCATTCCTCCCAAATATTAAGAACCATCCCCAATCCAAAATACGACCTGTATGACTTATCTGACTACCTCCCAATACTTATCACCAGCTCGTCTACCCCCAACTATATGCTTCCCAAACCCCCATCAATACCAAAAACCGACTGGAAAAAAATTAATCACATACTGTCTAAGAAAATACACAATCCCTCAGATATCCTGACCACCCAATCTATAGACAACTCCATAGAACACCTAACCCACCACATAAAACAAAATATCAAAAACCCACAACCTACTCCAGAAATACACACCCCCACCCACCCTGGCGAAATCCTTACTATTATGCGACATAAACGACGGATTCAACGAAGATACTACAAATACAGACGAGACGACGACAAACGACAACTAAAAGTAACGCATTAAGTTATACACAACCTACTTAAACATCACGAGACATAAGTATGACGATCTACTATCTGACACAAGCAGCCCCAATAATAACCACAAAGTCATAAAAACAGTCAGGAACCATCCCACACTCATTTCCTCTATCCTAACCAACAACAACGCCTTAACCTTTGACCCCCAAACCATCACCAATACATTCTCCCAATCCCTGGCCGAACGCTTCCTTCCCCCTAATATCCCAATCCCAGACAGTATTCTTTGGAACTTCCTTGAAACTCCACCTCTACCACCCGACCAACAGACCTGGACGACGAAGTGAAACAGATACTCAAGACGATAGACTGCAACAAATTGCCCGGACCCGATTGAGTCCTCCCATCACAACTCACCCACCTACCAAAAAATGCAATAGACCTGATTATTCTAATCCTCAACTCCTGCCTAACACTCCTACTTCCCCACCATCTGGAAGGTCGCTCGCGTTACCATAATCCCCAAACCTGGCAAGGATCATCGGCTCGCATGTAACCACCGTCCCATCAGCCTACTACCCATTCGAAAGTAAAACATTCGAAAAGATACTTCTTCTCCGTCTAATACCTCTCCTCGATCCTATCATAACCTCCACACAATTTGGTTTCCGTGAAGGTCGCTCGGCGGCCCTCCAAACCTTAAACCTATCCCTAGCCATAGTCACCCCACTGCAAGATAGAAAAGAAATCCCTGCTATTCTCAGACCTCGCCCAAGAGTACGACACCGTCTCCCATCCAATCCTCCTCATGAAAATCCGACCCTATATCCCGGATCATATTCACACCCTACGACAAAACTACTTAAATCATCGCTCCTTCCACATTCGACACCTACCAAAAACCTCTCACAACTACCTAATCCAAGCCGGCGTCCCACAGGGCGCAGTGCTATCCCCAATGTTATTTTCCATTTACATAAATGACGTTCCACCAACACCAGGAGTACAAACTTTCCTTTACGCTGGTGACCTTGCCTTCCTAGCTTACTTCTGCTTCCAAAATCTTTATCCTACCTACAAGAATCCCTAAACTACATCCACCTTTGGGCTTCCCAAAACTCGATTATAATATCCCATCCAAATCCCAAGCAATCCTGTTCTTGTGATTTGTTTGGATTTATCTGGATTTTTCAATTATCAGTCCATTTAATTCAGGAATTTAAATCATTCTGTACATATTCTAGGACAATAATCAATTATTAATGCTGTGAGAGGATTAATGTTGTGAACAATATATTGTCAATTTCCGTAAATTAGTAATTGACAGTCATACAGTAATTGACATTCTGAGCAATAAGTATTGTAATGAATTGTAACCATATGTATAAACATTTTCACATATACAATTACATAAAAAACATGTCTATCGCAAAGAAATAGAATTTCCTGAAAAATACTGATTTTTCAAACAAATCATCAGAAAATAAAACCCTAGTTGGCGAATATATAAAATCAGCAAAGGAACACAGTCATTCAAGTGGCATGGATGAACATGTGAATTATTTAAAATACGTACTTCATATAGTACATGTATTTACATACTACCTAACCCTACTCATTACAAGTTGTACAACACTTGGTGCAAAAACTAAATATTTTCAAGCAAATATCAACTCAAATTTGACAATTATAACTCATTTTTGTGCAGGTATCTCAAGTCCCAACAATAGACGCAAATCACAAAAATCAGCTTCCGAGTCAATTGTTGTGGAGTCATTGTAGCGTTGCAATCAGATATCCCATGAAAGCTAGCAGTATTCAAATTGGTTTTAAATAATTTCCAAAAGTTAAATGTGTAAATGTCAAACAAAAGTCGAATATAAGAAATGAACAAAGATATATGATACATATGATACATACAAATTCTAACATTATGAAGCATCCAAATGTCGGAAATTACGACAACGAAGCGTAATAAATTGCTTCGACGCTTGCTTTTGTGATGCCCTCGTCCGACAAAAATTTAGTGCGCCACAAGAAATTTTTAAAACACTTTTCCACTTATGTAATTAAATTTCAATGTTTCCCGGACTCACGTACGTTCATATACCTGAGCGAAACTCTCAGACTTCTTTGTCTTCACGGGAGCCTTAATAAAACACTTACGAAGAGGCGAATCTGAACAGCTATCAGAACCGCCTGAACCGAACAATCTGAACAGAACCGTGGCGGAGGGATACTTCCCTGAATTACACTTGATGTTCATTTGTTTAGCTAACTGTCACTTTGGCTCATTCCTATAAAAATCGCTCTATATCCATGGTTACACTTCTACCTTTTTTACTGCCTCACATGGCTAAAAGTGTACTGCTCTTTGATATGTATTACAAATTTTGTTTTGTTTCAAAGTTTATACCAGTATTCTATTATTTGCCGCCCTGGTGCCACTTCTCGAACCAGGGTCACGGCGGCACAGATATTTACATTAGCGGCAGTTTGTTCATTGCATTTAAGAGTACATATGCTTTCAAAAAATACCAGATTAAGTTACTCCAAATTTCAACAGTTTTCTGTGAAAATGAGCTCAAAATTTCTGCAGTTTCAGAAACACTCAAATGTCATTTTCTCAAAAATGGCTTCAAGTATTTTCCAACAGTGCTAATTGTACTGTTTAAAATGATATGAACTTCATTTTGCTGTATTCTTTATTTTTTTTCAAAAATTACACAAGCTTTTTAAATCTCTCTCACGCCTTAATATGCACATTTCCAGATTTATAGGTACTTGTGCATTTGTGACTAGAAGTGCTTGAAATGACTTCATGTGAAGATTCAAATTTCGCATTCAAAGTAATGCTCAAACACCATTTTCTTAAAAAAACAGCAGTAAATTCTTCAATGAAAAGTTCTATGAAGGACAAGGTTTCACTTTTTTTTATATTAAAGTATTAATTTGATTCTACTATTAGGAAACCAAAAGTAGTTTTAAAAAATTGAAAAAAATGTACTTTGGGCAGGGCAGATGGCAGCGGGCAAGAGAATGTGGCAAGTCTGAATACCTAGCTGAGACCCAAGGACATAGAAAACTAATATAGGAATGTCTGTGCCATTCTGTAGCACCACTACTTTCATTCTTTCTAAACTAGGCTATCAAAATTTGCTACATTACTAAAAAAGAACACAATGTATTTATTTAAAAGTTCTCTAAATATTGTCTTACATATTGCGTGCAGTTCATGAATTTTATAGAAAATGTAAATTTGTGCATGACAAAGCTACAGAAATTAAGCGGGAAAAGTCTTGAAGCATTGTTACCACAAGAACTAATTTTGTTATTGCTGTTTTAGTTGTTTCAGGTGCAGACTCAGAGACAAATTAAAGAACATCTGCCCTTACACTGATAAGGTTGAGTGTGTTAAAATGGAGAAATGGCCATTTGTGTTGTCATTTGAGTAGTTTGGAGATCTGTAAGAGATAGCAAAAAATTCTGAAGGATATGAGTTGCAAACAGTTTTGCATGACAAATAATTTGAGGAAGTTTGGAATGTTGAGGTATTAGTTATTTTTATATACACTTAAAGAATATATAGTAGATATGAATTAAAATGAAACTTCTGCTTTCAATAAATAATTGAAAACTAACAACTAAAAAATTACTGGTTAGTCTGCTTTATCAATTTTGTCAAGATTGTCAAAATTGTCAAAACAATTTTACATAAGCATTTTGACAAATGTGCATACATTTCCTTGGTATAAATTTGATGTACATTTCAGTTTTTGACAGTTATTTCATTTAATTTCTTTTTTATCGACTTTCTCTAGGAGTAACTTATCTTCAAGAATGTTTACTTCAGTACAAAGATCACTGCAGAATTTCTGATCACAAAATTGATTAGAAAATAACTATTTAAAATAAGAGAAATTAAAGTAGCCCTGTACACTATGTAATTATAATTTTCTAATGCATTAAAGTATATAAATTAAATAGGATACAAAATAACTTAACAGACATGCCATTTTTATTGTCCATAAACTACATTTCAGCATACATTAGCAAAAATACGCAAGGAAAGAAGCTATTATTCTGAAACTGATGCTGCTGCTTTCTCAATAAAATTAGCTAATTTAATATCACGACCACTAAGTCCATTCACATCATGTGAAGAGAGTGTAATTTGTACTTTGTTGTAAACATTAAACCATTCTGGATGATGATCCATTTTCTCAGCTGTTAATGCAACACGTGTCATGAATCCAAAAGCCTAGAGAAATTACAAGAAACAATTAATATGGTAATATGTTTCAATTTAAAATGCAATTACAATTACAAATAAAGTGACAATTTAACTGTTCTGACCTGGTTGAAATTTTTAAATAAATATTCCTTGTAAATAGCATCACGGCCCTCAACAACGCTCCAACCACTGCCAAGCAAAGGTTTCAGGGTCTTCTCACGATCCTCTTCAGTAAGTTTGCCTGACTGCAAGAACAACACAAACAAGACGTTAAATATAAAAGACAGAAAACTGGATTCAACAAAGTTAACAAGTCAACAAGTCTTGGCTCAAAGTCTGCCATTATATTTTATCATTTCAATGGTGTAAACAGGATTTTTTTTTATGAGGGCTATAGGCACAGTGTCCAGCCAAGTTTTTGTTTAAAGAATTTTTCAGTTATGCTGAATAACTTATTTGAAATGAATTCAATAGCAACATATGACATTTCTGCCATAGAAAACACTGAACAACAATTTTAAACTTTTTTCTGGTTCAGCAAGGGAACGACTGATGTTTAATGTATTTTGTAGGGCTGAACTCTAATACCACCACAATGGTCAGATAAGGTCTGATTTTTTTTAATAATGTTAAGGCAAAAAATATTATAAATTTTGCTTGTTGCTAGCATTATTATCTTACAACATATTCCAAAAAAATATAAATAAATAACTTTTCTAAGCAATTATCAAGAAGACTCCTCTAAAAGTAGGTCTGTATAGGTACATATATCCAAAAGGAAGTCCATCATTATGCAATGGTTTTGCAAATTTTATCATGTGTCCTAATTTAATATGTAAGTTAAAATGTAAAATATTATTTTATAACTGTTGCTCAACATCTCCCCCCCCACACACACACACACATTAAAATTATTTTACACAACTCACACTTCTAGCAGAAATTTTATCTTTACTGTTTTATCAAGAAGGAAAGCTTTTGGGTCAATGACCCCATCTCAATCAGGATTTCGTCCAGTTTCCCTGATATTTGAGCAATGCTGAGATGGCAACCCTTGCTTTGTTTCTGGATATAAATGTAACTTCAATTAACTAAAATTAACTTCTCACCATGGTTTTTAACTGCTTTTGATGTAAATAAACAAAAGGAAGCAAGTGTATTTTCTGTATTATTGTTGAAGTCAAAATGCAATTGCATTTATCTTTAAATCACTTTATATTTGCCAATTAAATGGATTATAATGGATAAGATTTATAAGACACTTTACATTTTGGTATATTTCTCTTAAATTTTCTTCACAGCTTATAGGAATAGATGACCCAATAATCCAAGTGCAAAATAAAGTACTTTTCAGGCTTCACACACACACAAAAAAAACTTCCATTCTTTGGTAGAGCGGGGCTTATATACTCTCTGGAGCGGGGTTTATTCAAGGTTTCCCTGAGTCCTACATTTTTTAGAACACAATATCAACCTTTACAACTTTTTTTTTCCCCCTTCAAAAGGCATTTGGCAATACCAGTGCGTGCGACCTTTAACATCTTTTTGTTAGGTATTCCCACTTAAGTTGAACTTAAAGTTTTGATTTTGTCTTTGAAAGTTCTAAATCTCTTTACAAGATGATTCAACTGAGTCAAATATATTTGATCTTCTACACTATTTGTCTTGCGCAAGATGGAGACGAATGTGTCAAATGGGTGTTCAAACAAAACTTCCCCGTTTGAAGTTAATAAATTCTGACCTGTAGTTTGACAATTGGAACAATGTTTAATGTGAAATTCGTAATTAGAACAAAATCATAAATCGTTTATTTCTTGGCTGCTGACTAATGAAATTAATAAATGATATTTTTCGTGAATATGAGCGAATGTGCCTTCGACTTTTTCTTCTGGTTGGGGTCTATAGCGAAGCCCCCATCACACACACATTTATGTCCCAACTTATGTGCGCCACAATTTAATCCTCCCATCCAGAATATTCAGATTTGTTGTTAGCCCAAATATTCCCTCCAATGAAACAAAATTAACCGACTTAAAAACGAAAATATTCTCCAACTTATGGACCAATGGCATGAGCTGTCCCTGACGATTTCATTGGCTGTCCCTCCCAAATAATTTAAATCAACCAATCATCGTCCTTTCAGCTTCTGGAAGTCTTCTATCGTCTTTTTCCTCATGTTTTTCTTTATCTATGCCCGTAGTTTATTTTCTTTTGGATACTAAAAACAAAGAGAGGAAAATATTATTTTTATCTCCACTCCGGATAAAATTTACCCTCTAAATTCACAAAAATTTCCCCGTACATTTTATGTTCCCCATTCTCTGCCCGCAACGAAAAAGTCCCCATTTTGGGGACAAAATTCCCCATCTGGCAACCCTGCTCCAACCCAAGGTCACTAGACATACAAATCAGATGACTAGGAATATATGCCTTTCCAATCCTAGCAAACATCTTTCATTCTATTAAGTTTAATTTTTTAAATTTCAATTGCGAAATTCTCTTCACGAATTGTATGAGATCCGTCAGACTTGAACTTGTTGCTTTCACGTTCCTATCATAACATCACCTTGAACTCTGCCTATCCAAGGTCATTATCTCCAGTAAACGTTCACAAGGGTTCATATGCTATCTTCTGAGCTGCTTCCGAGTTTTGTTTAGCGCCAAGTAGACTCTCGCACGTTTATAGAGGACATAAATAGCAATTTGGCCGTAAATGTGCAAAACTGGGTAGTTTGCGTAGAGACCCATAATCATAAAGGCATTATATAAAACTTGCGCCGTTTCAGGCACAATAGGGTAAATTGTCACGCCGTATTTTTCGTTTGAAGGTGCTTTAAAAATTCCTCCCCCCCCCCCTCCTCTTTTCAGCTGCCAGCCACCTTCAACTTCTCGCAATCCGATCGACTTTCCTGAGAGGAGCCAGTTGCCATGGTAACCGTGCGAGAACTTGTCCACTTTCACTCCCTCCTTCAACCAACGATTTCACTCCAACAAAGAAAAAAACTATCACTGTCGCCTCTGTGGTGGAGATAATTTAACGCGATGCTTGCTTACCGTGGTAATTTGCGAGTATTTCAGTACTATCGAATCTTTTGTTAACACCGGGGGGAGGGTAATATACGATTTAAATACTTATTCCACATTTCGGGGGAAATTATGCAATAAGTTATATGCGTCATTAAATATGTTAATACGCTATTAACAATTTTAATTAATATAGGAACGTATATAGGAACTCAGAAAACGTAAATTCCATATGTAAATTTATTGCAAATAATGGTATTTGTATTTCATATAAACTTTAAAAAAATGATAATCAGAAAATACTTACCATTTTTAATGGGCGGGCAGCGACAGCTAACGTCCTGGAACTAAGACAGACTGAAACTGGCACTTTCTTCTTGAGAATGACAGCTCTACAGGTGGCAGCACATATCCCAGCCGAAGAAAGCATAGTGGTTTCAAAAGTTTATGTTGTCTAACCTGTATAACGATCGTACTTTATCAAAACAAGCATGGAGCACAGAACGTGTAGAATATCATAAACGACTTACAACTATTATAGTGCCAGTCGGTGCCCATTGTAATTGAGGTGCGAGAAAAATTGGAGGTTAGAGTGTGTTGCCTTTGGAACGGCTTTCTGAACAAAAGTTACTTTGACAAACAACCAGGTTAGGTAATATACTGATACCGAATAATTGTGGATGTGGACAATGAACGAAGGCCAGAGTGTAATATCCGAAATAGTTTTGAAAGATGGAAATGTACCACCAATAATTGGTAAGCTGTAGTTAACTCATGTTTTGTCCACGAAACTTAAAATTGATGTTACCACTTAAATACAATACCATTGCGCGTGGTATAATTTATTTACCTTTAGTGTAGTCTCTAATAAAACATTTGTGGGGAGATTGGTCCCTCTGAAGCAACTGAGATTATCCGCAAAATTTTCAATTAAACGTCTTATGTCTTCCTTTCAGTACGGTGCATGTTACTCGTGCCCTATTCGTGTGTGCAGCTTTCGTGATTCGTGAATGGTGCTGCCAACATTGTAATTCTAATAAGGACATATGTAAACTGAAACCAAATTTTTTGCAGGGCATTTCGAAAATGGGGATTTGAAGCCTAGTGCAGGGAGCGTGCAAAGATGTGGGATTTTTCGCAAAAATACTGAGTCCGATAAATATATTGTTGCTGTGCATACAAGTGATAATGGAGTGTACATGGGTACTCAACCAGAAGAGGAGCCATACCGAACATTACTTGCTGTCCAAGATAAAGGAAGCAATGAAGTACATATTTAATTTAATTGAATATATATTAATAACATTTTCTTCTTGCAAACTAATGCTGTTGTCCTGATTTCAGATTCGATTAATTGAAGTAGATAAAGTCTCTTTTAAACCAATGTCTATTATTTCTTCCACAAATAATCAAGAAGAAGCATCTGTTTCTGCATTATACAAATCATTTGGATCAAGAGTAATAAAACGAAAAACAGAACAAAAAGAGCGAATGACAATTAACATAGAAACTTTCTCAGAGCGCTTGCATGGAACAGCTTCTAATATTGATGTGGATAATGCTCTAAATTTAATAGACGATTCAGAATATATTGGTACATTCCTTCCATGCAATAGAAATGCCACTGTTGTCACAAATGTGTACAATTTAGAGGATATTATATCTCCTCATGAGCTAGAAGATTTACAAGAACAAGCTCTGGTTGTGTTATCTAATTCAAATGAAGATAATAAAAATGAGTATGTCAACTTTGAAATATTTGGATTCCATTTAGTGTTAGCAGTTGTTAATATTGAAGTTCAATTTACTTTTATGTTTTAAATAAATTATGAAGCAGTTGCAATTGAAATTATATTCGTACTTATTATTTTTTGTTCTAGTTACTCAGCATTCTTAAATGCAAATTTACGGCTACTTCCTGAAACAAATAGGCATTATTATGCTCAAATATTACTGTACGCTGAATGCCTTCTTCAGTTTTTATCATTAAGAAAAAAAATTATTGGTGTCGTATGCCCTTTCTCAGATATAATTAATGAAAAAATTCTACAAACTTTTACTGAGAACGTAAAGGGTGGAAGGTACATTATATTATCTAATATATTTTATTAAAATTTTTGAAATATTCCCTTATGACACAGGTCTGTTTAATGCTATATTTTTAGTTCACAATTTCTTTGAAGTTCTGTACTAGTTAACATATGTTTTTCCTAGTGGCAAGTGTGGTTAGAGATTTGCTTAGAATTTTGTACTCTAGCTATATGCATTGTGTGTTATTTTCCCTAACTGTTTTAATGACATCTGTTACCAAAACTAAACCGAATATGGAAGGTAAAAGCAATGAAAACAATTATCTATAACCAAGAAATTTAACCTTTCATTATGAGCACACAATTAAATTGTTTAAAATTACAGTATTCTTACTTTCTCACACACATTTTATGTAATCACAATGAAGAACTAGTTATTCTAATAAATTGTAAGTTTGAGTTGCGAGTCTAAATTAATCATGATCAGCACTGGTCAAAGTGAAACTATGGATAGCTATGGAAAGAGATGATTGTCGTTTGTTATAATAGAACTGGAGAAAATTAAGTTTTCACTGGTTTTGTAAATATAAGAATATAGCTCGTAAAGATAGAAATCAAAATTTTTACTCTTGACATGATTTACATTTGATCACTCGATATGAAGTGGATGAAGAAAAGTAATTGGAAAAATTAGTTTCATATTAGTGATGTATAATCAATAATCATTGTAATCAAATTGTTTCACGTGAGATTAGATAATTTAATTTAGAGAGAAGAGGTATTCAGTATAGGGTTAATGCAGAACATACATACTCGTTTTTCTACTATAATAAAACAAATATTCGCTTCAATTGTGCCTTGTGTTTACAGAATGGCACAGACATTCTCGTACTAGTTTCTTCAAATTTCTGTGGTCTAGTCTCGCTTTTCGGTCTTGCCCCATCCTCTTTCCAGTGCCATCTATCGCCACCGCAAAGTACTTTTTTATTAAAAAAAATAATTTCTCAGTTTTTCAGTTTCTTAATGATAGAACTGAAATATTACTTTAAGAATTTTATAGAACAGTAAAACCTCATCTTATAAGGATATTTCCATTAAAAACTTAGGAGTCAGATTCTAACAAAATTATGTTTAAGCATTACTGTAAATGCAAAATTTGAATCTCATTTTAACAAAGATATTTTAAGTCTGAAAAACTGAATTTGAAGTCATTTGAAGCACTTCCACTCACAAATACAATAATGTATATAAATCGCTGTTTTATGTATATATTAATGTATTTTAATGTAATTAATGTTTAATGTATTAATGGCGTGAGAGCTATTTAAAAAAAGAAACATTTGTCTAATTTTTGAATAAACAAACGAATACCGCAAAATGATTTTATGTCTTCATAATTGGTGCAATTAGCGCTAACTGTACGAAAAGTTTGAAAAAAAAATTTGGAGCCGGATTTCAGAAAATTTTGTTTTTGTCATTTTTTTAAAATGGCATATATTGCATGAAAACTACTAAAATTTTCAAAAATGTACATGACCCTTACGAAAGAACTAATTATGGAGAACATTTCATTTGAAGGAAAAATCTCTATCTTTTATTCCGACGTGGAAAAAGAAAACTGAAAAAATTTAATCTTAATTTTGGCAATTATCGAAAATACAGAATTTGTAGTGAAAATTAGATCTATGCCATCTTCAAAACTGTAATTTACTTTATACTTGCAAGAAATTTTTTAAAAAAATGTAGAGCAATTTTTTATGAAATTTTGAAATTGTCCTAAAGGCGTCATGTAAAGTACCCCCAAAATTTAATTGTTTTTCAAAATCGCAGAGCTTCGGCTCAGACCAGATTGAGTTTCAGTTGGGAAAAAATTGTAGATTAGGCACTTGTATTGTTCACATACACCAGACAGACAGAGTTTTGCCATCAATCAATTTTTCGGTATCAAGGACCCAGAAAACATGGATTCTTGCTACACCATATGTGAAAGGAATTTTTCTCTCTAAATTTAGCATTTGGATTTATTCATGTTTTTCGTTATTAGGGCCCGACAATAAGAGTTTTGCCGAAATTTCAGTTTTTTCATACAGCATCACAAAACTTTCTCTCAAGTGTGTAAGTGGTAGCGAGAAAGTAAAAGGTAATAAGAATTTCAAATGTAGTATTGCAAAAATTTCTGCAAAAATTATTGCAAAAAGATGTCAGATTTATGTTTATATATCAGTATGTGCCATAATATGATCCTAAGATACTTCAAAAAATTAAAATGATTTCTCAGTTCAAGACCAGAGAGCAGCATATTTTCAACATAAGTAAATCAGGTTTAGTTCAAGCTAGCAACTACTTGCTTCTTGATAGGAAATTGTAGTGGTTGGCTTCTCTGATAAGTCTGATTTGTGTTGTTTCCTACAATCAATCTCAACCAGATGCTGGAGCTTGTAACAGGCTGTAGAGGCGATCCTTTTCATTGTTAGAGCCAGATGATTGCTTGATCTCTCATACTCATTGTACCTCCCTCCACTGATACCTGTAAAATATACCCCCCCCCCCCAAATGGTATTAATGATGTCACATTGTTTTTATAAATTAATGTCCATTATAGCATACTTTTTCAAAAAAGAGACAACTTCAGACTTTTTTCTTGAACTTTCATTTAGCTATCTTATTTTCACACTTACCTTATATTCACATATTTTTTTACAGGCTGTCAAGTCCACCTCTCCGAAGCAAAGCATTATGTCACTTAATTGTTGCAGGCTTATTAGCTTGTAAATTTACACTTAATATAGAGGCTTTACCGAGTTTGACCCAAATGTCTGGAGAAAAGTAAGTTTGTGTTGCTTGAAAATTTATTATTCCGTTTGTTCTTGGGGTGGCAAATGTACTTAGTCAAATATGATATATGTCCAGATTTAAGGTTTTTGTTTATCAATCATCTTTGATTGCAGCTTGATGAAACTTTGTCGGATCTTAGGAGCTGTGCCAATGGGTAAAGAAAAGAAAGACATTGTTTTAAAAGTTCCTCTTCCATTCACAAGAAAGCCTAATATTTTAAAGAGGAAGAAGAAATCTTGATTATTATGTACCCTTTCCATCTGTAAAATATGTATCTCTTGCTAAATAAAATGTTTATTACATAAATTTCCTTGTGTAGAATTTATGACCTATAATGCTAATGAATTTAAATTGATTTAAATTGCCTTGATCCCAATTACTTTCTGATATTTGGGGTTTATTTTAAATAATGGTAAGCGAGGAATACTAAAGTTATTTCAATAAATGTTTGTTACTATGTTAGTTTATTCTAGGAGTTTGTGTAGCTGGTAGACTTAATAAGCTCACTTAACACTTCTAATTTATGAAAATATATTTACAATAAATAATGGAAAAAATGAGATTCAAATGATACTCAATGGAATTGTTTGCTGGAGAGTTTTATATTTACTTTCGAATTAGGCGTGACTTAGAAATAAGTTTTTAAAAGGATATGCTTTACCCGTACGAATGGGATCTCGATATAAGGAAAACATTTTATTAAAGGTAAAATAGTAATTGGAGACTGTTTCTGACAGTTCGTGATACCGGTTCTCGAGCCAGGTGTCTTGTGAAGCCACGCGAGTCCATACGGGACCCTACGCTGACCACCCCTTGTTGGTCTAGTGTCACAGTACTGCCACCTGCAAAGATACCGAGATATTGTTTCGTTACGTCTGTAATAGGCTGTACTGTCACAGTTCCTTTGTATTATGCTCTGAATTTATTTTCGTGCTTGCCGATATATGAAGATACTTTGTATTCTCGAAGCAATTTATCCCACTTTCCTATCCTTGTTTATTTTTAGGTGTTTGTGATGATGTTGGCCATGGGCAACTTGTGACCCTGCTGATGTCAGGGCAGGTTGTTGCTCTACATAGCAAATCCGTGTGAAACTGTGCGGTCGGTAAATTGAGTCGTAGTGTTTTGATATATTTTGTTCCCGTGAGTATGTAGTTAGTTAGAGAAAACTAATATCCTGTTGGTTTCTTTCGAAGATTGTGACACGGCATTCTTTGAGCAGGTGGGTTAACGGTATATCTTTCTGAAATGACAAATTATTGCACATTTGCGTATTGAGCATGTTGGGAAGAAATGGCTCTGTACATTCAATTATCTTGTCTGTTTCCTTTGACAAATAAATTCATATTGAAATAAGGATTGACAGAGCAATCAGCCTCATAACCACTGTGACCTGCATGGAGTGACAGCTGCTAATGGCTGGTGTTATGTATTAAAATTTTCAGTTGGATAAAATTTTTTATGTTCGAAAGAATTAAAATAAATAGTTCTAGGGCACTTGTCAATATTTTGTAATCATTGTATCACTAAACAGTTTGTAGTTACCATGTTTATGATGAAATCCTGTTTTCCAATTTTACATTTCTTCTGTAAATTGTTTCTTAATGGAAAATGACTTTGTTTTCAGGATTTTAGAAGCTAGAAAATATGGATGTTCCAGAAGTAACATTCTTATTTCAATTCGGTTTGATTCGTGATACAGTTACTGCTTCTCCAGGATCGTTGGGACTTAAAACCTTGAAAGATCTTGCAGCTGATTTTATTAATAGAAAGGTATATTCTTTTTTGTTTTCTGTGAACTAATAAATAATTATTTAAATTTGTGGTTCTAAACCTTTGATTTTTTGTGACAAATGCGTTTGTTGCTTACAATAGCATTTTAGTTTTAAAGACATTATTTTGATAGGAAAATAAATACAAAAAGAAAACACAATTTTTTTGCTTCCTAGCTCACTCTCATGTCTACAAATCTCAGTGTCAAGTTGCATCTTTTAATCATTTTTGTGTATTATCCCCAAAATATGTTGTTTGTTTGAATTCCTGTATAATTAAATGTTTACAACTGTCAGGTTGATGGCTCTGATATATTTTGTGTAATTATATTGTACCCACAGTGTATGTATACTTTGTTTCATGAATCTTTAAGAAGAAAACTAATGAATTTGATCCAAATCTTGTGGGTGTTCAATATTGAAAATTATGCTACGATGATTATGATGATATTTTTTTTTCTTTGCGAATAGACTTATTCAGTGATAAGTGACAAACATTGTTGAAGTGTAAAAACCTAAAAATTGGATGAAAATAAAAATTAATATGTAATATACAATTTATAAGAAAATAGATAAAGTCCTTGCTTAGGTTGTACCATATACTAAATTTTAGTCAAACCTTTTTAAAATTGTTATTGTTGCTAATTAGTAATATTATTTTTCTCCAATGTTATTTTCCAAAAACACAGTCTATTGTGCTACAAACCATTTGATTTATTTTGCATCTTAAAAAAATCAAAAATTTACACTAATGAACTTATTACTATAATGTAGACTCAAAACTGGAGGAGGATATTAAATTTGAAGCTTATAATAGATTCTTTGAACATTCTTTGTCTTCTATGCTTGTACTTATCATGTTTGTATTTGTTTTTTAGGCTGAGATTTTTGAATGTATCATTTCATTTAGCAATGAACTACAATAGTGATTTTTACTTTCTCACAAAGTACTTCCATAGAGAAGGAAAAAGTGTTGCCATGTTGCAGCAAAAACTGTGTTTTATTGACAAAAAAAAAATTTGTATTGTGGGGCCCACATATTGAAAAAGCAGATAATTCTAGTTACCTTTCATTTTACAGTCTGAAACATACCTGCAATGGCTTTTTTTCATTAGGGAGTTGCTTGAGAAGACTTTTTTGCCATTTTCTTCATGTTCTCATCTTTAACAGAGTCATTGTTTACATTTTTTTGTGTTGTTCTTTAAAGTTACTGTGTTTAGTTTGATTAAAGCGAATAGGAGCCAGTTGATTGTTAAAGGATGCATTTCTATTAAATTGCTTTTTGTGAACTTTGTATCATCAAGTTTTGTGTTTTCAATTGTTTCTCAATACTTTCGAGGACACTAAAATATTTTGTCCTTTTTTAATTTGTTTGTAATCTTTGTTTTCCCAGTGCCCAGATCATGGACTGACCTGTTTAAATGAGCGGTTACTTCTATTTCGACATGATTATAACTCTACAAATATTTTACAACTTATAAATTCGACAGCAGAAATTGTAGATGAGACACTAGTAGAGATAGTTCTTACTGGTAAGTATAATAAATGTTTAGTAATTTAGCCTTCTTTACAGTTGGGAAATACCTCTTGTGATACAAAACTTACGAATAAGTAGGCACATTCTACCCAAATGAGTGAGTCTTTCTTCTGGAAGACATCAGTGTTACCATTGAAGCCAATTGCTGATCATCACAAACGAATAAATCTTTAATTCTATTGACATGTGTTCTTGATGTTACTCCTTCCTAATGAAAAATTGAATATTTCTTAATTTTAGCATTATATTAATTATGTTATTTTCAAGGTTTCAATTTGCTTTATGATGATCTACATTTACAGCCCAAGTTCCTGTGGAGGAAGTTCCTGTTCGACCACATGCTCTTGTGGTGCATTCATACAAAGCACCGACATTTTGTGACTTTTGTGGTGAAATGCTCTTTGGACTCGTTCGACAAGGATTGAAATGTGAAGGTAATTTTTCTCCTTGTATTTGCTCCTTTTTCTTTCTTTTGAGGAAAAGACATAAAAATGCACTGTAACTCTATGTAAATGTTCCCTGGAAGATAGATTGAGGTCTTAACTCCATTGTTAAAACTAAATTAATTTGCAAAGGTATAGTAAAGAATTCAACTCTGTCAATATTCTCTGAATATTGGAGCTTTATTTTTTCCCTTTCCATGTAAACTGCTTGCAATTTACATTATGTTACTGATTTTGAATAGATTAAAACTAATTCAAAATTGTGTCCTTAATCTTGGCAAGAATATTCTGTTTATTTAAAACTTTATATAATAGCATGAAGTACATTTCCAATCCTGGAATTGTTATCAAAAATTTGTCAAGTTTAAAGAGGCATACTTGTATGTGGTGAGTGCCTAAATATTACTGTTTGCTGTACGCTTCAAAACTGTCAGTATTATATTTCTGAATCAAAATGAATTGTGTTCAAGAACCGTTAATAAAATACTATGTGGTAATATTATGAATTGATAGGTAAGCATTGAATGTGATCCATCGATAAAGAAAAGTTGTGCGAATAGCACTATGAGATGACATAAATGCCATATTGCTCTGTTCTTTTGTTTTTTCAAAAATTCCAAAAATTAATTTTGTGGACTAGCCTCTCACGTTGTTAACATTACGTTATGAACAATTTGTTCACATTATTGGGTTTACTAGTAAAAGTTCTCTTCACAATTGTCTAATACAGTTTCTTTAAACTCAATAGTTTTGTGTGAAAATGTGCTCAAAATTCTGCATTTTCAGAAATGCTCAAACACCATTTTCTCAAAAATGGTTACAAATTTTTCCTTCAAAATTTTCGTACAGAAAGTGCTGTTAAAGATGACGTAACATTAATTTTGCTGTGTTCTTTTGTTTTTTCAAAAATTACACTGATATGATTATTTTTAAATATCTCTTAGGCCTATAACATGCACATTTCCAGCGACTCGTAAACATTATTGTATTTGAGAGTGGAAGAGCTTTAAGAGACTTCCAATTAAGTTTTTCAAAAGCTCAAAATATTTCTGTGAAAAAGAGCTTCAAATTTTGCTTTTACAGTAACACTTATACACTATTTTCTTAAAAATGGCTTCAACGTTTTGAGCAAAAATTTCCGTACAGGACAAGGTTTTACTCTTCTATAAGTCTTAAAGTAATATTTCGGTTCTACCATTAGGAAACTGAAAAATTGCGAAAATTTCAAAAAGATTTACTTTGGGGGGCAATTGCTGGCAGCTGCCAAGTGGTGAGGGCAAGAATTAGGAAAGTAGGAAGAAGAAAAAAGAAATTAGAATACTAATACAAGAAAGTCTGTGCCATTCTGTAGCACCACTAGATAATTATAATGTAATATATGCCATATAAATGAATAACAATATTTGGGATTGTTGACGTTTGTGATATGCGTATATTCAATAAATCAGTTTTATAGTGGTACTTAAACACCAATTTTATGGTACTGCTTACATTTAGGTTGTGGCCTGAACTTCCATAAAAGATGTGTGGTAAAAATACCTAACAACTGCTCAACCCAAGGGAAACGCCGTCCTTCCTTCACTCCACCTCAACCCCTGCAAGTGCCCCGCAGCCCATCTGATACTGGATCTACATCTTCTTTGGCATCTGCATCTGACGAAAGTGCTTTGGTAAGAGTATTTTATGTTTTTATTTATAAACAGTCATTGATATTGAATTGCCTTGGAAAATATATTATTATTGAAAATACTTGTAAATGAACAAAATTCTGTAGTGGCTCTTCATTGGATTTTGATTGTTTACCTTATTGTATCATTTTCATCCTCTTTTTCGGTTTTATTCCATTTGGTTTAATTTTTATTTATTTCATTTTGTTTAAGTTAACTTTGTTTACTGATGCAAATAAGTTTTCTATAACTCGGGAACAAAATTGTCTAGTTTTTTTTAAATATGGCTAATCTCTCTAATCTTTTTCAATTTTTTATTTATTTTAAACTTTTACTCATCTTTCAACTATTTATAGTTAAAATGATGAGAAGGGATTCTGGAACTCAAGAAAACGTGCACTGATTATTTTCTTCCCTATACATCACTTACAATTTTTACTGTTTTTATTTTTTATTTTATTATTATTTTTATTATTATTATTATTAAATAAATTTATATCTAATTTATTGCCTAAAAAATAATTTTAAAAAAATCTAAATTATTACCATATTGTTAATGTATTTATTCCTTTTATATTTACTTAATCGTAGAAATATTAAAAATCACGTAGATACCACTCTATTTTTCTCCCTTCTTTTCTGATCTCCATAAGGTAGTAGTTCAATGTTAATAAATTCATTTCTTTTTCAGATTCCAACAATAATAGTTACTAACAAGCAGAGTCGTTCTCCCTCACTCGGAGGTCGGTCACCATGGATAGAAAAAGAGCTAGCTTCACGAATTAAGATTCCCCATACTTTTGTGTTGCATTCCTATACCAGACCTACTGTTTGCCATTATTGCCGAAAACTTTTAAAGGGACTCTTCAAACAAGGTTTACAATGCAAAGACTGTCACTACAACGCCCATAAAAAATGTATTGATAAGATTCCTAAAGACTGCACTGGAGAAAGTCCCAAGGAAGCAGGAAGTAAGTTCGTTTTGTAATTTAGAATATGTTATTTTGCTTCCATGAAATTGCAATGACAATCTCTTTTGTCAGCTGGAGAGTATCCTGACAGTGGAGTGGGCAGTGAGCCTGAACGTGAAGGTCTGAGAGAATCCGGGGAGCACGGTGAGGAAGATAGTGATGCAGAAAATGGTTCTCCCCCTTCTGGTAGGGGCCCTCGCAAGTCATCTTCCACAGACTCTTCCATTGCAAATGGAGCGTATGAGGTAATGACACACTGTGCATTTCACCATTCTGGTTTCTTTATTTCTTAAGAGTGTGCTGAAAAACTACTTTTGTTCACAGGATCTGATTCAAATAACAGATGAAAATGATGCCAACAAACGACCAACAAGGTATGATTTCTATTTTTTTGTTATATTTACATTTTTTAACTTCATAATACTTTCACAATTTTTGTTTGATTTTTCCAGTTCTTCTCCCAGCAATAATATACCACTAATGAGAATTGTGCAATCTGTGAAGCATACAAAGCGCCGTGGTTCTAAAGTACTTAAAGAAGGGTGGATGGTACACTTCACAAATAAGGATCGAATGGTATTTATCAATTCTTTAATAAATTGAACAATGAGTCAGAGCTGTTTTTTCTTGTTTTTCTGTTTAGAGAAATACTCATTTTAGTTAAGAACATGCACTTGTCAACATTAAGCAATTGTCAATGATTAGAATAATTAAGAGCCAAATTCATAGTTGATACTTAACATGTAAGGGAAAGTGTTTCCTCAAAGGACGTGGTCTCTTAATGTTTCCTTAGGAACACTGAGCACTTCCTTAACAGGGCAATGTCGTTTGTGCCATCTGCTTTGAGGGACTTTGGCCACAGACAACCACCCAATACTCCTTTTCATGCAAACGCATCTGATTCCCCTCCAGTAATTGCAGCATTATCTGCATTTGTTAACAAATGCAGATAATAACAAAACCCCTTTTGAAACTGTTTATCATAGTTTGTTTCCAATGTATTGCTCACGTTTCTTAATATGCCTTGTTATAGAGAGTAGTGTTTCATGTGTTAAGGATAAAACTCAAAATATTCTGCAAAATCATTACTGTAAGGTTGACTGATGACAAATTTTATAATAATTCTAATCAGAAATGCAAACCTTGATGTAAAATCAAACAAAATTAAAAAGATACAGCGATCACTGGGTAAGTACCTAAATTGGTTATGAGACCCTTAGAGAACCTGAATTATAGATGAGCGGAAAGGGAGAGCTATTTATTTATAAAATTAATTCACTTAAAGAATATTCATCTTAAGTGTCCACTATGAATGCGGTCCATAGTATTCAATCGAATAAAATTATGATTTGTAGTGTTAACGACAGAGACATGATATTAATATTTATAGGGCACATAGTGTCAATGAGATATAGTATTTTAAAAGTTAAGCAAATTACTATATGTATATGAATAATAGTAATTATTCATTTTGCAGCGGAAACGGCACTACTGGCGTCTTGATACAAAATCCATTACTCTATTTCAAAGTGACACTGGTTCTAAATACTACAAAGAAATTCCATTAGCTGAAATATTAGCGGTTGAACCTGCAAGAGCTCCACATGGAGGTGAGGGAAAACATAAAATTTGTGCCTGCTACTGAATTGCCTTTGAAGGCCGTGGCTCTAAAGCATCTGGGAGGTATCTTAATGTCAGCATGGGACAGTTTTCTATGTCTATGTTTACCAATGTGGAACAATTTTTACCATGGCTACATGATATACAAATAGTTGATTAGCAAATATAAAACAGTTCCATTTTCTAACATATCATACCAAGATTTTCGACTATGGCTTCAACTGAAATGGTCTTTCGTCTTTATGAGCATTGTTGTACAGTATTGATATGTACTCTGTGAATCGTGTGAATTCTCAGAAGGTTTTTGATTTTCTGCGACACTTCAAGAATTGTAAAAATATTATAGAAATATAATTCATAATCTACATCAATTTCTGTGTAGAATCATCCACCTCACTGTCTGAAAAATCATATAAATTTTGTTTCAAAAGACAGGCAGGTTCTGGGTCCTTGGAGAAGAACAAACCCTCCTTGTTATAGGATGCTATTTTCAATTTGAATAGAATGTTTTTTATTTGTATAATGGGAATCTATATGTATAAAAATAAATGTTGGTATATATAAAAGCAGTAAACTGCTCACTGTGTGACCGATCTCCGAAAGTTGGCACATCTACATGGTTTTTTAATTTAAAAGGCTTATGTGATGTTAATTTTGTTGTAACTCTTCTACATGGCGCTGCTGAACAAAGTTGTGCTTCTATTTAATTCAGTTTTCATTCAAACTGCACTTGACCTGCGGGTTTCATTGTTGCCACATGACTTAGGGCAAAGCCCAGGAGAACCGGATGCGTGCATGAGAGTGACCGAGAGATGCAGAGAGAGAGAGCGAGAGATGCAGAGTGTGATGGCAGCAGAGAGAAGGCGTGCATATGTAAGAGGCAGAGTGAGAGAGATGCAGAAAGAGAGGGAAGGAGTCAGCAAGACAGACAGGGGCAGGCAGAGACTGTCATAGACAAAGTCGAACAACAGGGGTAAACCTAGACAGATAGAGACAGAGAGGGACAGGGACAGGGACAGAAAGGGACTGAGTGGCAGAGTCAAACAGACACAGAGAGAGAGAGACTTAAGAGAGAGAGCGTGATGAGAGATTGAGACGATAGATGAGATGCGAGAGAAGAGCAGACATGGAGAAGGACGAGAAGAGAGAGAGCAGAGAAGAGAGCAGAGAGAGAGAGGAGAGCAGAGACGAGAGAGAAGAAGAGCGAGAGATGAGAGAAGAGAGAGACGAGAGAGAGGAAGCGAGAGAGACAGACAGACGTAGAGAGAGAGAGATGAGAGAGAGAGAGAGAGCGAGAGAGAGAGAGCGAGCGAAAGAGAGAGAGCGAGCGAAAGAGAGAGAGCGAGCGAAAGAGAGAGAGACAAAGAGAGAGAGAGAGAGAAAGAGAGACAAAGAGAGAGAGAGAGAAAGAGAGAGAGAGAGACAAAGAGAGAGGGAGACATGGAGACATTTTCTTTTTCACAAGAATTGAATATGAAAAACCCTGGGCAATGCTGAGTATTTTGTTAGTACTACTTACTAATCAATTGTTAAAATGTATATGTATATAAAGTAAAGCTTGTCTAAAAGGCATGAAAGCAGATTTCTAATATATTTTAATTTGACCAGGAGAGAGCAGCTAAAAGTATAATCTGCTTTGAGCATATGAGGCACATTCCACATGAGCAGGCTGAAAACGTGTGTACTGAGAACATCACTACATATAGAGGGGTTAAAGCAGTCACTTATAAGCACCTCAAGAACAAAGATGTGGGAGGAAAGCTCTCTGAAAAGAAATACATAATTTTCAAAATTATATAAATTTGTAACGTCATTAATATGATTTAAAAAACATATTTTCTCATATTAGGCAGGTGAGGGATAAATATAAATGAACAGTAACACAAGTGTACAAAACCTACTGCCTTATTTGAAAACCTATATGAATAGGAATAAAAACTTACAGTTAAAATAATGAAATTTATTTATTGACTGTAAGAGAATATTAAAGGTAGTGTAAACGGTCATAATACTTCTGGTTCCAGAGCCTAGATTGTGTTACAATAATGGAGGTTCACAAAATTTTTATTCAACAACACTTATACTTTCATCACAAATAATCGAATCAAACTGAGCTGTATAATCCAATTTTTTATTAATTGAATGCATTTTAAATGAAAATAATACATATTTGTCACTGGATCAAATTAAACCTCTTATTGAAAGGAATATTGTTTAAAAACAGCATGGCTTGGTGTCTGGTAGGAGGTATCTTACAAATTTCTTAATGTATACAAGTAATGTAATAAATGCTCTTAATAGCAGTATACTAGTCGATGGACGTGCATGGATTTTTCACAAGCATTTGACAGGATGAACTATGAAGTACTTTTGAGCAAATTAAAATTATTGTTGAAAAAAATTATTATTTTTAAAACTTTGAAATCAATAGAAAGTTATTTGACAGATCATAGATTGTAAGATATAAAGTGTACAAATCAAAAATGATATCTGTAACATCAGGTGTACCCCAAGTGTCTCATTTAGGTCCATGGTTATTTTTAGTGTTTATAAATGATATCTGAGGTATTAATTGAAGCTTCGGTCTTATTGTAGATGACTGCAAATTTTGGCGAGTAATCTCTGTTTTACTGGTTCAATTCAACTTCAAGAGGGTGACAATAGATTAAATTCACAGAGTAGAGAGAACAAAATGAATCTTAATATTGATAAGTGTAAATTTCTTTGCTGTAGTGGTAGTTTCTCTCATAATTTGGACAATATCAAATATATTTGTGATCTAGTTATAATAGTAAATGATTAACTATCTTTTTAATAGTCACGTAAACTATGTTATAAATAACTCTTTGAAGGTACTGAAGAAATACTTCCAAATTTAAATCTATTAAAACTATTCCTTTGCTTTAAAATTCTGTAGTCAAAACTAAATTGATGCATTACTCTGTGGTTTGGTTACCTTAAAGTAGTTTAAATATTAAAAAGCTTGTGCATATACAGCATATCTCTATTGCGCGTGCAGCTTTTAAAACCCCCTTTTAACTAATCCAAGATACTCACATGACATTCTGATATTTATAATTTACTGAAAGTACCTTCTTTGAAGTCTGCATGCAAAGCTAATGAGGTGATTTTCAAGCATAAATTATTATGGGGTAAAATAAATTGTGTATCATTAAGAAATTATTTTGAAACCTTCGTGAACCTTTATAACATGAGATTTGATAAGAAACTAAAAGAATGCAATTGCAAGAATCTTTTTATGTACTTTTCTGCTATTCCATGTCTAGCTAGAATGGTTAATGGGTGTCAATGATTTGTCTGAAAATTTGAAATGTTCTCCTCCTGTAAAAAAAACAAAAATACTTTTATGTATTTAACTAGTTTTGTATTATTATGCTTCTATAGAAAATATTTTGATAATTGAACAACAGGTCATGAAAATGAGAATAGTTTTTATTTAAATTAGTTTTAATTTTTTTGTCTTTTAGTTCATTAAATATTGGGCTATTGCTTGTTGTATATTCTCAAATAAATATATATCAAATAATAGTTCCTTACTCATACGTTCCCTTCCTGTGGGCAACACAAGCTTTTTTTATTGGCATGTGTTTATGATATATTTAAATTCCTGGAATCATTGTCACATTGGATATTAATAAATAAATTTCTTGATTCTTGTTATTTGGTAACTGGCATTTCATCTATAAGTGGTTTCTTGTTTTCAGATATTATGCACTGTTTTGAACTACGTACATCTGCAGTGGACTACTACGTTGGGGAAGATCCTTTATATGGGAGACAAGAGAATCCTCCTGTTACAATTCCTCCACCAGACAGTGGAATTGGTGCACATCTTGCTAAGACTTGGGAAACAAGCATTCGACAAGCACTTATGCCTGTTACTGCTCATGCAAGTTAGTTAATAACTTCACTTTTTTTAAAGATTCTATATGATAATTTTATTTTATAATGCATCTAAGAATTTGTGTGTGTAATGAATAGGAAGTCTTTAGTATACTGTAGTACACGTATCAGTCTTTGGCCCTTGTTCTTCTGCGCTTAAACATTTAAATTGTAATGTTAAACCTTTTCTGTTTCTGTTTCATACCTTACTTTTGAAATTCATTTTCAACTCTGAACAATAAAGTGTGTTGTGTATGAAGTGAATGTGTTTCCTGCATTCCCATATAATTTGGGGCGATATTGAACACTAGGTTTTGTATTCAAAAACACAATTTGTTTCTTTAAACTTCAGATTTTAATTTTTTGATGTTATGACAAACCATTATACCTTTATTTCTTCCAAATAAATATCTCTATTTGATTCTAATTACTTCATGTTCTTCTTGGTATAATTGTAACATCTTTGTTAAAAAATTAAATTAATTACGAATTTAACAAAATAGTTACATATTTTTTTATTAGAGTTTAATACTTATAAATCATACTTAATAATAATTGGTATCTGGTAGCACTGGTTCAATGTGAATATTTGAATAATAATTATAAAAATAATAATAATATCAACTACATTGTTCATATTGATATTTTATTGTTTTGTAACTAATAATTTTATTACATCCATAGAACAAATACAGTCAAGTGAAAAATTATTTAATTTTGAACATGATCTTGGCTATTCTGGTGACATCGCATCATAGGCTGTGTTGCCGACATTTTGACCATCTTGTCGTGGTTTTCCTCAGGGCTGGTATGCGCCACCCTGAGGCAGACCACGGCAAAATGGTCAAAACGTCGGCAACACAGCCTTCAGCACGGCATCACCCGGACAGCCCAAATCATGCACTTGACTCTGGCCGCAGAAACCTGCGACTTCACTTTATTTAATTTTGAGTTTACTAAATTTTGTTGAACTAAAAATTGAAGTTCCCAAGTATTGGTTCTCTGCTGCGTGTGTGTCCGTGTGTGTGTGTCCGTGCGTGTGTGTCCGTGCGTGTGTGTGTGCGTGTATGTGTGTGTGTGTCTCCAGAACACCATTTTGCCAGAAATCACTCTATACTATATTAATGAAAGAGAGATATGTAGTGTATTATATTAACTCTCCTTTCTCTTTGTTGCAGAGACTGAAGGTGTGGGTGAACCTGAAGAAAGAGTAACAGACATGAGTCAGCTTTATCAGATATTTCCAGATGAGGTTCTTGGATCTGGGCAATTTGGAATCGTATATGGAGGTCAGTGTTTGTTTGTGTATATTGCTTCTGAACTGCACTCAAGTAACCAATTTATCAGTTCCTTCACAGGGTTCAAATTGCACCATATTTCTGTAGTTTTCAGACAGCTGTTGAATGAAACTGGTATGTTGCCCCTGGATCTAATGAACAATACAGTACTTGCAGCATCATTAGTGGTGAGGTAAAAGATGAATGTGAAGCATTTTTGTTTTGACCCTTCATGTGTTAATGTTAAACAGCACCAGCAATTTCTGTGAGCTCCTGGGATCATTCGTCCTGTTGATAACTGTGTGTTGCGTGCAGCGTGTTCTTTGCAAGGATCACATCATGTGGCATGCTGTAGGCATCATGAGGCAATTGCCTTTCAAAGTGTAGTAGTCCCTTCCCAGCCTGTTGAATGAACATTACTTTTGCTTGGGGCATCAGGAACCTACTGTTCCAGTCTGTTCACTCAGATGTGCCAATTTATGTTATAGATATTACAATAATGTATCATTTGCAGTTTTGAAACGTGAATAATATTGCACAAAGTGTCTGAGATGTTCAATGCTAGCCAAATGGTATACAATACTGTTTCAGAAAAAATGTCATTCGTAAAGAGAGTAGAGTAAATTATTGCCTTGTAAATTGTTTTTGATTCATAGAGAGAGCATAATAAATTTATATATTATTTTGTATTAAAGTCATTTTCAATTTTTATCTCTTGCTCACTCTTTTAATCTTTGCTGGTAAAATATTTTCAGTTAGAATCATTAATCTGTCAATAGAGAGTAGCAACTAATGAAAATGAAATTCAAGTCTATTCATGCTCCATCGATACTCTCTCCCCAGTATAGATTGTCAGAAATGTGACCAATGAAAAGAAGCCCATCTTAGAGTGAACAGAAAATCTCTTCCTATTGTGACTTTCATGCTAGTCCTAGGTGATGCAATTTGGGTCTCCCAGTGCTATTGTATATGCATTGTGTGTTACCAAGAACTTTTCTATACTGTTAGTATTTCTATTTTCCATTTGTCATTTTCCTTTTTTGATTTGTGTCATCATGACAAGTATGGGTTGTCTTCTGATATGTCTAATTATTTCTTCCAAGTATGTGCAAAAGTGGCGTTAAAATTGTATGTACAAAATATGTGTATTAAAATAAGAATTCCTGACAGTTTCTACTCTTATAACTCACTAAATGAAAATAAAATTATATTACTGTTTGCAATTATCTGATGTATAATAATTTCTGTTTTTCTTAGGTGTTCATCGAAAGTCTGGCCGTGCTGTAGCAATTAAAGTCATTGATAAATTACGCTTTCCCACCAAACAAGAAGCTCAACTTAAAAATGAAGTTTCTATTTTGCAAAACTTATCACATCCTGGTGTTGTAAATCTTGAACGCATGTTTGAAACATCAGAACGTATTTTTGTTGTAATGGAAAAATTACGGGGTGATATGCTCGAAATGATTTTATCAAGTGAAAGAGGCCGTCTTAGTGAGAGAATTACTAAATTTCTGATCACTCAGGTGGGTTAAAGTAGAAGCAGATTTCATTGTTTTGAAAACCTGTAATATTGATGTATCAAGGTTTTTTCTGCATTTTGTCTAAATTATCTGTGTTTATATACTTACAATTACGAAATAATTGAATGTACAATAGTCTCCAAGCAAAGACCCTTTACCTTTAAAATATGTTTTGTAATCCAAAAGGTCTTCAGAGACTCCTATATATAATTTTCTTGGTTGGAAAATTGATAATAAATTTATGCATTTAAGTTGAAAGATAACATTCTTCTAACTTTCTTCTTAATTATTGTTGTTCTTTTGTCTTGTTATTTTGGTAATTGGGTTGAGTGTTGAAATATATCATTGGTTGGGATCAATTGGTGAGTTAATAAGCACAATGATTCAATCTTGGAAGTTTTATTTTTTTTATCTGCTAGGCTGAGGTTAGAAATATGTCCAATATGCAAATAGCCCATTAATTTGCACTTTGATCAGATGGTTTAGATAAATCCGTATTAGCCATAATATAGCCAACACATAACATTCGTCTTTTTATATTTCTCTTAGAATGAAACATGGTAAGTTATCAAGGCTTGAATTTATCCTTTTCACTTGCTCAAAATTTATGTACAGCATTGGAATTGAAAAATGTGGCTAGTATTAAAAATTATACATTGATATATTTCAATATGATTTAAAGAATCCCAAAGAGGTGTAAGCTATTATCTTAAATTTTTTTAATGTATATATTATTGATATTAGAAGCATTGAACTTTTCAATGGTAATGTTTGGTTTCAGATTCTTGTGGCACTGAAACATCTACACAGTAAAAATATTGTTCATTGTGACCTAAAACCGGAAAATGTGTTATTGAGCTCCGATTCAGATTTTCCTCAAGTGAAATTGTGTGATTTTGGATTTGCAAGAATTATCGGAGAAAAATCTTTCAGAAGATCAGTTGTTGGTACTCCTGCATATCTAGGTAGATGGTTTCAAATATATTTTGTGCCATTTAGAGTAATTTTATGCCTTTAATTTACTATTTTTACTGTTTATAGTAATAATATAATATTAATGAACCATGAAAATGGATCTTTGTGTTATGAACAGTTCTCATAACAATAAAAAAACTGATTCTTGTATGTACAATTTTATTTGTGCAGCTCCTGAAGTGCTTCGAAACAAAGGATACAACCGCTCCCTTGATATGTGGAGTGTAGGTGTTATTGTTTATGTTAGTTTAAGTGGCACTTTCCCATTCAATGAAGATGAAGATATCAATGAGCAAATTCAAAATGCTGCGTTCATGTACCCACCTAATCCTTGGAAAGAAATTTCTTCTGATGGTAATTTTTTTTATTTCTGTTATATATGCTTTATTCTTCTTCTTCTTCTTCTTCTTATTATTATTATTATTATTATTATTATTATTAT